TGTACCAGTATAATCCCCGTGGGCTAATACCATATAAAAAATTGAGTTACAACTTACAACAACTCTTCATGTCCCGCATGTGATCTGGAGTTACAACAACTCGCGTCCGATGATAGTTTACAATCTCTAATACGTATTGGGACCTGTTGCAATGCACGGGCAAGTTTGCTAGTGATTGTTTATTTGTGAAAAATTGCTCAAATTATAAATGGTTTGACTTACTCGTTTTAGAATAGAGGGTCTCAAACTTCCTATTTTGAAAATAAAAATCGAAAATAGGGGAAACAAATATGGCATAAAAAATAGGAGAAAAAAAAACCGAGAGAAGCAAAGTAACTTCCGAAGGAGTACTAACTGTATCTCTAAACTTCAGTGCTAACATGTCATCAATGAAGAAAGTATACTTTTGTTAGTAAAAAAAGAAAAAAGAGAAAACAAGTCGATGAGTCGCAGGCTGAAGCCGAGCGATTGATGGAATCAAGCATGATGATTTGAGTGGACGGTGGCTGGACAGTTGGGGCTTTGAGGGATGCAATAGAGCAGCAACAGGGGAAAAGGTGGAGGTGAAGGGGCTCACAGATGAAGAGGATGTGCAAGGAGAACATAGTGACATTAGATCTATAGCAACTCCAATTAGGGTGTCATTGGTTCCTTGTATCCGGCCTAACTTAGTTCCGTGGATGTACCTTGTGGGTGTTTGGTTGGCTAGGCTAAGGGCTGGGCTAGGCTCTAGTCGTACAAAAGCATCACCATCCACCTACTTGTGGCCCTCCACATCCACACGCCAAAAATCACTAGGGTTACCACCCCTTCACAAGTTATCCTCCCTCCTATTTATCTTGCCGCCGCCACTACTCCCTCTCCCAGTCTCATTCGCTCGCGTCTTGCCTCGAGGAAAATCAAACCCTCTCCTATGTGCTTCTTGCCTCTCCTCTCCCTTCTCTAGCATCTCAACTCTCATACATGGTGCATCCCTCTCATGCATCACCTTTGTGGTGTTCTTGCCGTTGAAATACAATTGGTGTCGTGCGCAACAAAGGTAAGTTGTCCATCTCCAATCCCCATCCCTTTCTTTGGTTTTGGTAGATAGGGATGTAAATCTAATGAGTTTGGTTCACACCTTGTAGGGTTCTTTGATTCGTGTTGTGTTTTGCAAAAGGCAAGTATTTCCCACTGTTCCCCTTTCCTTCTATTCACTCCTTGTAAACCCTAATCCAATCCTTGATGTCCATTTTCGTGTAGTGTCTTCAGATCCATGGTGGTTGTACCAATTTGTAACTTGGATTAGTGACTTGCTCCATTTTAGGCTTACATCCAAGATCTCCTCTAGTTGTTCCTCTTTGTGCTTATTGCTATGCTGCTACGGTAACCCAAATAACCTCCCCTCGTTATGTGGTCCTCTTGTCTGGTTTTTTCTTTGTGTGATTCTTCTTCGTATGGTGATTGACAATACAGTTTACGCTCTCATCCACAATAGTTAGTTCTATGTGGATTGCAAAGCGTCTCTGCTGATGATTATGTTATTATTCATTATAACTGGACAAGTACCTCTGCCTTTTATTTATGTCATTATGTTTATAGTTGAGCACTTTCCACCACATGTGATGGTAACAGCTGAGCGCATGCCACTGCCTGTAATGTCATTACATTGTTTGAGCATATACTTTTGCCAAATATTTGCTAATAATCTAGTCTAAGTAGTTCCTGTATTTTTTTCTTGATGTGTTTAGATGGCTTCAGGAAACAGTAGGAGTGCACTTACTTTGCATGCAACTACTATGGTCGTGGCTATGTATGCATTCTTCTTTAGTAAAATTAGATTGGTTAATAACAAATGTCCTTGTACCACCTGTGCCCCTGTGAGCAGGGATGTAGAACGCCAAACATACATGGACAAAATCTACAACTACAATGATGTAGAATGTGTGTCAATATGTTACGTATGAGGAGAGCCCTTTTTTGAGCTATGCAATTTGTTAAGGGGCGGGAACTTGTAGCATACAAGCTTTGTTGAGGGGCAATAATTTTGCAATATATGTTTCTACATGTGGTGGGGCATACCTAGTGGTTTAGGGTGATCAACCAATCCTTTGTGAGATCCATAGAGACAATGAGTAGATACTTCAAGGAGGTATTGTTTGCTATTGGTGAACTTAGACAGGAGATGGTAAAAGTACCATAAAATGAGACATCATTTAAAATCAATACCAGATCTAGATGGTATTCATACTTTAAGGTGTAGATCAGCTGTACTTAAGTCAAATAGATAGATTTGTGTGCATGCTATGGGCCATAAAATGTTAATGTTCATCATATGGGCATCATGAAGGACTGTGTGGGTTCAATTGATGGTACCCATGTGCATTATAGCACTCAAAATGTGGTAGCTGTTGTTGATTTGGTACTAGGTTTGTGGTTCCATAAGAAATGGGCTACCCCTTGTTGAACTTGTTAAACGTATTTATGTTTTTTCTGCTGGCAGGATCATTTCTTATTTAGGGTGGGCTACATTTTCATTGTAGTTTTGTGCATAAATATTTTCTTGACCTTACAAAATAACAAATTTATTTTCTTGACCTTACAAAATGACAAATTTATTGGTAGGAGATACAATGGCATTGCTTTTGTTCATGGAAACTCCTAGATATATCATTAGCAGCGACTATCAATTCAATACTTAGCATTGTTTTTTCTTATTAGCTCTAAGATACCAGTACATTTCTTGTCATATATTGCCAATTTATGTCTGGTCGCTTGGCTGAGGAATTGACTATAAACAAAAAGAGTTTCTAAACAAAAATCGATGTGAACTATTTTACTATACTTCATTTCCATAATTCCCACGTCACATGTGCATAGTAAATAATTTAGTGGTAATGCTTAACACTACAACCTACCATGAGCAACCCCCAAAAGTCAGTAATCCTGGTAAGTTCAACCTTAATGAAGGAATAAAAGGTAATGCTTTCATGTTCTTAACTATTACGAGTACGAGATCTGAGGTTTAACGAAAGACAACATAAAGAACCAAGCAATTTTGAAATATTTTCTCACGAAAACAAAGTGCATAGAGTTTACCAATCTGAGCTACAGAGATATCTACAACAATGTTTCACCAAACATTTCCCAGCCTGACCTGCCATTGGGAAGATTTATTATTGGGAAAACAATTGTAACTACCCAGCATTCCATTTTTTTTGGTATCCCAATTGCCTAATAAGGTTATAAAAAAAAGGGCAGACCCGGTGCCGAAGGCTCCCACATGAGTGGGGTCTGGAAAAGGGAAAAACCGAGGCAAGCAAACTAATTATATCTAAAGGAAAACATTTATCGTTTGGATCTCATAGCAACAAACAAGTTTTTTTTACCAGGTATAGCAACAAATAAGTTGGTTCACGATTTTCAAGTGAAGCACCTTCAAAGTTCTCAAGTATCATACTGTTGAGCATAGACAGTGCTACATTTTTAGTAGTATAGAATCCAATAGTAGAAGCACCTAGCTCAACCACAAATTGGGAATAAAAATCAATTGTATGCAAGTATCTAGCTTTTACAATCAAGCTCTGCTCTGCCCAAGATTCTACTATTAGCAGTGTTGCCGAGCATGATCGTCCAGAAAAGAAATGACAGTATGATACTACTTAGCCATATACAATTGTTTTCTTATATCAAGATGTGGTTGAGCTAGGTACTTCTACAACTAGATTGTGTACAACTGAAAAAGTAGCATTGTATGTGTTCAGCAACATGATACTGGAGAACTATGAAGGTGCTTCACTTATAAATTGGGGACCAACTTGTTTGTTGCTATCAAATGATGGATGTTTTCCTTTACATATAGTTAGTTTGTGAAAAAGCAAGGCAGTTACTGTTCTTTTCCCAATGACAAGTCTTCATGTCGGGTCAAGCTGGTGAAATGCCTGATACAAAAGGTTGTTGTAGGTATCTCAGTTAGTCAGATTCGTGGATTATGTACACTTCATTTTCTTGAGAAGACAATATTTCGTAGTTGCTCGATTCTTTCTACTGTATCTCCTTAGACCCCAGATCCAGTACCAATAATAGTTGATAAAAAACATTTTGCTTTGTGCTTGAAGTTGGACTTATGATGATTACTGCTTTTTTAGAGTTGCTTATGGCAGGCTACAAGCATAACCACTAAACTCATTTACTATGCACATGTACTGAGGTGAGAATTGTGGAAATAATGAATAACAAAATAGTTCTCATCAGTTTTTGTTTAGAAACTCATATTGTTTATGTTCAGTTTCTTGGCCAAGCAACCAAACATAAATTGGCAATATATGAAAAGAAATGTATTGGTGTTGTATCTCGTGCCACTGACAATAATACAAAAATGGATAAATATAAAAAAATTGTTGCAGAGAGTAGAAAGAAAATTTGCCATTTTGTAAGGTCAAGAAAACATTTAGACACAAAAGTACAATGGAAATCCAAATGAAAAACATAAATACCTTCAGTGCCATGTATTTAAGCCAGTGGTATGTAATATGTTCTCAAAGAGATTGAACTCCTGAAACACTAGTAGAGCAGTTGTAGCTGTAGTTCTGCCTCACATTCATCGAGTCTGGTGAACTGAATACTGGTACAAAAGATTATGCCGAGATATGGACTTCAACTGTTGTCGACAGAATTGTCAGGTGGTGAACAAAAATACTAATTGTACATGATTAACTCATGGCATTTTGCAGCCAACTGGTAGTAGACTCTTGTACCGAAGCATGGAGGAAAGCACATCAATCTGCAGAGCACCTCAAAAGGTTTCGCCGCTACTGTATCACAGAAGATTTCGCATCCAGGACCTGCACTTCCCCCTTCGATGCAATGACGGCATATGATCTGCAGGGCAGCAGGTTGCAGTGTAAAAAAACAACAACAACAACAACAACATAACCTTTCAGTCCCAAGCAAGTTGGGGTAGGCAGTGTAAAAACAACTGAAACTTTTTTCCTAGAGGTTATGTGTGCTCAGTCAGAGATTTACTGGTTGCTCCAAATGATCCCATGATCCACAATGCCATCAATTTTGTCCAACTTCTCTGCTACCTGACCTGTAAGCAAGATGGCAGAGTAATCGTGGTTAACGGATTGAAGCTGAGTTTAGATCTGCAGTTGCGAGGATGGAAGATCTTCCATCCGCATATGGCATACCAAGATCTGGGATTGGAGTTGTGAAGATAACATCGAATACGTGATGGCCCTCCTTGGTAACCAATGGGTGCTCACCCCCTAGTGGACCGGTAGTTCCAAACGACGGCCTCCTCCAAACCTTCATAAGAAAAACACATTGCACTTGTGATCAGAACAGATGCATACATGATACTTCAGGTTCAGAAACCCAGCAGCTTCTCCAGTTCTGAAATTCCAACAGGGTGTATAGTATTAGCTTCGATGGGCACACCTCTGCATCTCCAAGAAACAAATCGTCGATCTCTTTGGCAGTGTCGATCCAGTTTCCCTAAAATGACCTGTTCCTCTCTTTATGAACATTGCATGAAACGATACGCGCTGAAGCAACGGATGACTGCTTACACTTTTAACCAGGACCGGGATGGAACCCTCGACGCCCGTCACATATTTGTCATTTCCAGTGATGAAGGCAAGCTTGTCAGCTGATTTAGCCATTGCCTGTGTGTATATATATAGACGAGGAAAATAGGATTGCATCATGGTTAATGAGAAAGAAATTGCCCGAGTCATGGCAGCTGGCTAAGAGCCTAACATTTACTCATGTGCCGACTTGTGTCTGTCTCCAAAGACCAAAGGTATCTGCACTGCTTACCTTCTCCGCCATGAAAGAGGGCTCTCCACTCTCGGTCTTGCGCCGCCCAATGACTGCAGCCAGGGTGCCCTCTTCGATCACTTCAGCAACAGTGAAAGCAAAATCAATCTATAGGTTAATGAGCACGGTTTCAGAGGGCTGTTCTTCCAGAGTAGCAAGAACTAACAAGATGTTTGTACTAACCTGGGTGCCTTCCTGATAGCTGCTAGCCCGTATCCCTGCCATGTCTGCCTCGTTCGCACTGAGCACGGACCTGGCTGGTCAATCCCAGGAAGCTGATTAGAATAGATGCCACTCACTGATTCGATGCCATAGCAACCAGGACTCACGAGGTGACTGCGGCGATGCCGGTGAGAGATCCCCGGCGAAGGCGCGTGCCGAGGTACTGGATCGCCAGGGCGGACGCCGGGCCGGAGCCTAGCCCCACCACCATGCCGCTGCTCACGAACTTGTCCACCTGGAGCGAGTGAGGAAACATATAATATTCACAGGCACAGCGGCTAAGAACAGGCGGTGGGGCGTCACTTACAGTGAGCTTAGCGGCGTCGAAGAGGTCGACCACGTCGGCGTCGGCCGCCGAGGCCGAGCAAGCAACTCTCCGTCGCATGGAGGAAGGCGGGCAGCTGTTCCGTTGCGGCCTCGGGCACGGGCAGAGCTGCAACGACGGAGCTACACTTGGCCTGGCCATGGCCTCCATGGATTAAGGAATTGAGAAGTTCAGTAGTGCAGGGCCAGGGCGGCACGGCTAGGAACAAAGACGGACATGGTAGGGCCCCAGCGGGGACAAGGGAGTGGTGCAGGTGGTTCACTGAAGGAATTCAGGAGCCACCGCTACTGAACCATTTCAATCACCTCAAAGACGCAACTAGCAATTTCAAAAATTAAAAATGCTGACAACGCAATTTCAATCACCTCGAAGACGCAAATCACAAATTCAAAAATTACAAATGCTGTCAACGCAAAAAAAATGCTCGACAACGCAAAAAAAAAATAAAATGAAATGGCGAATTGAGGTAGGGTCAATTACGCGCAGTGCAAGTTTGATGGACGGAACTAATTAGACAGAAACTGAGATAAGATCAAATGAAATTTTACCAAACACTACAACACTATTCAATAAAAGCACAAGAGGAAAAGGGAATCAACAATCAATCCCATTAAGACTTATTTGAGTGCCAGGAATCTCATTTAACTGCATTAACATCAGTCACAAAGCAACATATGATTATCCTCACAATACAATACACCCAGTCTCAGAACATGGCCAGACTCTTAACAACGAGCTAGAATTAACCAAAACCAAGGATGGTTTACATAGCCTACATCTACAGCAAAGCAGCCATGGTGCAGGTGAAGCTCCCCTTCCTCAGCCCCAAGATGCGCCTACTTAGACCTCTGCCGCATCTTTCGGCGCTTCCTCTTGAGCCTCCTCATTCTCTTCTTCTTCCACTGCACATCAAATGAAACACGATGAATCAGTTCACCCACATTGAATGGCAAGCGCTTAGATTCTAATAGGAAGTCTCATCTGAAAAAACATTAAACTGAACAAGACCTAACTAAAGACTATGCAATTTGTCAGGGATCAGAAATATGGAGTGTTTTTACTCATCACTGATGATCAGAAACACGGACCAATGGTTCTTCATCACATCCCAACATCTTAAAGACCAAACAGTTAACTTGCAAGTAACAATCACCCAGCAACAGAGTGTTAATCATCGCATGAACTAAGTCTATGGCTCTTGAACAACGAATGAATTTGCAAGAACTAATCAGCTAAAATAGTTCGTAATCAGCACAAAATAACAAGGAAATGTCAGTTTGTCTTGTACAACCAACTCATTGTGTAACCAGCAAATAAACAGTTGGAACTATGCAAAGGAATAGCTGTAACATGCAGTGAACTGGCATTCAGAATGAGTAGGAGGTATTTCTCATCAATTAGATCAGAAAAATCTAGTTTTTCCTCATTATGCCAGTTTTGCAGAAATAATAAGAAATAAGAAATAATCTAAAATCTAGAACTTGTAACAGAGCAGCAACAGAAACGAAAAAATTCAACTGATTACTGTTCTCTCAGACAAATGCCTCGATTGTCCCCATGGTTTAATGGAATGGATTAGATCGGACTCGTCATCTGTGTTTGGTCATCATAGAGAACATCATAGTGTCACCAACACTCTAGCAAGCACGAATTCCACAGCCCACAGCCCACAGCCAAACCCTAGAACATTACTATCTCCGCAAAACTACGTACTGTAGGACACAATTTCATAATCATCGCATCATCACCGAAACAAACATCACAACGGAGGTGAGGGAAGACGAACCTTGGCCCTCATCGCGTCGGCGGGGGCGGAGCGCGCGAACGAGCTCCCTCTGTCTCTGCTTGCGGCGGCGAGGGGACTGTCGAGTTGGGGACGGATCGGATGGAGGCGGCGGTTCCTCTCGCTTCTAATTTATAGAGACAGGGGTCTTGGGTGGAAGCGAAAACCCTAGCCGTGATGCCCTCATTGACGGCTGAGATCTGCCGGAGCGGGGAGTTTGGAGCGGAGGATTTGGGCTTCGTTCGTGGGCTCCGTATCAGAATAGGCCGGAGTGGAAGGTGGCTTGTTATTGCGTATCGGGCCAAATGGGCCTTATCAGAGTCGAGTCCCAATATGATGCAATACGTTCCGTTTGCCTTTCTTTCTTTTTCTTTTTTTTTAGAATTGTTTCTCTCCCACAAAATCCACAGCTGAAGTTTCAAAAGAAAAATCCACTGCTAAGACTGTGAGCTTCGCAAATTTCCATTCTTGATTGATCAGTGATTAACTTGTGTACCGTTTTGGAACATACAAGATCCGTGTATGTATGTTTACTGTAACGTCACCGTAATTATCTGTTCATGCTAAAAAGAACCTATATTTGTAGCGGTAAAAGCATGTATGTATGTTTATTGTAACGTCACCGTAATTATCTGTTCATGCTAAAAAGAACCTATATTTGTAGCGGTAAAAGCATGGCAGGCGTTGTTTAAAAAAAAAGCATGGCAGGCGCATCTCTTGGAGCAACAAACACATCCGATTAAGAGTTCATGCTTCCAACCACATGGTATGAATCACGCTCTAGACCCAGCATTTGAGGGGATCGCACGCGAGGCACGATTACGAGTAGTCCTAATAAAAATAAAGAGTCTTTCTACTGTACAACAACGTGTTTTATACAATTTTAACATATTAATTTTTTTTACCCTAAGATTAAGTTCCAACAGCCTCCATCCTTCTTCTACCTCTAGCTTTCTTCTACCTTACCTTAAGACAATCACAAGATCACATATTCATATATCACAAATCATGTATCACATAAAATAATTTTTTTTTTTATGGAAGAACAAAATAGGTGTCGGTGCTGCCCGTTCGTGAATAAGAAATGCACGCGTGCACTGCCCGTTCGCGTCGCGTCATGGAAAAACACACACGCAGGCTGTTGGATCTGACGCAGATCTGACGCAAATAAGAAATACACGGACGCAGATCTGACGATGCACACAAACAAACGGAGCCATGTATTTTTTTTTATAATAAAACATATTTGTGTTGTATATTATTTCTGAAAATAAAAACCGAAAAAGGGACGGTGGCCGTCGCAGAAAACACAAGCAGTGGTCAGTAACGTCAGTTGTTGCCCCCTCCGCTCGCGTTGGGGTCGTTGTTGGCGTTCGTGCTCGCGGCCTCTGCGGCAGGAGGCGCCGGCTGCGACGGCGCGGGCGGCGCGGGCGCGGCCCAGCCGCCGATGGGGTGGAACGGCATGCCGGGCAGCGGGAGCCCCGGGATGGCGGGCATGCCGCCGGGGTTCGGGAACAGCGGGAACGACGGCATGGTCGACGGCGGCAGCCACCACTTCATGCTGCGGCTGCCGGCGGCGGAACCGGCGGCGTTGTTCCAGGCCCTCACAGTCACGGGCTCCGTGGCCGGCCCCGCGGCGGCGCGGACGACGGTGACGGTGGTCGCGGAGGGGACGGGCGCCGCGGCCGCGGCGTACGGGTACGGCGCCGCGCTGCCGAGCTCCGGCTCGAACTCCACGTGGCTGATCTCGTTCTCGCTCTCGTAGTCGTCACCCAGGGACGGGTCCAGCGGCTCGGTCTCCGCGCCTGCCGTCGCCGCCTTGGAGCCGAAGGAGAACTCCAGGCCGCCGTTGGCGTCGTTCAGAAGGCGCATGGCGTGCCCGGGCCCGGTGCAGAGCAGGGCGATGGCGAGGAGGCCGACGAGTAGGAGGGACGACGACGGCTTCTGCTCCATGGCTGCTTCTTGATGGCTTTCTTTGCTTTCGCCGGTGAAAATGGCTGGTGATGAGACGCATGAGCGAGCAATGCGAGTTTTATAGCATGGCTGGAGAGCAGTTTGGTTGGATCGTGGTGACCTGCATTCCGGTTTTCTGAATGATGTAATCGTTTTGACTGCTACTGCATGCCGGACGCGTGCAACATCTATAGCACCTAAGTTTAAACTACTTGTTTTAGCATTCAGAATTCATAATCAAATGCAGATCAACTCTCCGGAGATTAATTAAATCCACTCATGCTTATTGTCTTCTGTCAACCAAACCTGCCATTGCATCTTAATTCACAATTCCTCTGTCAGGTATTTCTCCTTTTCAGACACCATGGCAGTTCAGTACGTACAGTCATATGTAGTTCTTGAAGGTCACAGGAGCAAGGTTTTATTTTAACTTTGTGAAAACAAAGTGTAAACTTTGCCGAGCTAATGGAATTGCGAAACAAGGAATATAAGAGTCATGTACATAGCCAAAGGGTCCCTAGCTCTAGTGGTTAGAGCACCTCAGTAGCATCCAGCAGGCCTGGGTTCTGACTCCCCATGGGAGCAAATTAAAAAGGTATGGAATAAAAAAAATAAAAAATAGGCTAGAGTTTCCTCTGCTGACTTCGGTCAAAAAAAAAAAAAGAGTCATATACATATGCCAGAACTTGTGCTTGCAGATTGAGCTTGGGGTGTGTTTAGTTACCTAAAATCCAAACTTTGGCACTATGCAAAAAAAAGATTCTCCGTCACATCAAACTTGCAGTATATGCATGGAGTACTAAATGTTGACGAAATCAAAAACTAATTGCACAGTTTGGTTGTACTTTGCGAGACGAACGTTTTAAGCCTAATTAGTCAACGATTGGACAATTATTATCAAATACAAACGAAATGCTACAGGGCACTACAGTGCCGCGTAGTGATTTTGCCACTGCCGATTCCAGGCAGCTAAACAAGGCCTTGAAATGGCACAATCTTAGAAACGAAGGAGGAAAGGAGGCTATCGGCAACTTCCAGTTTTCAGAAATGAATTATGGGCACACTTCATTACTTGAGCAGTGAACTAGCATCCATGTTCAGAAATTTAAATGAGCGGAAGAACTTGAATAGCGGACCACATGCATTGCAGCTTAAATGAGTGGAAGAACTTGAACAGTGGATGCAACATGCATTGCAGCTTAATAGGTTTAAACCCGGTGGGCAATGAACTAGCACCCATGTTCAGAGTGGCACACAGCTTAAGTAACAAGGCGCAACATCAGTTCACCAACCCATTCATTCATGAGAAAACCAGCGGCTAAACTACTCGTTCTTCTTAGCCTTCATGTTCCCCTTGGGAATCTTGCTCAAGACGCCCTGGTCAAGCTTCTGATACTGATCTCGCAGCAGACCAAGAAGGCTGTAGAGGAAATCATCCACTTGGTCTTCGTACTTCTCATAGAGCACAGGAAGTGTGTGAACACAAACAAACCCTGTTCCAGGTAATCCAACATCTTTGTCAGTACTACCACGTATGCTGAAATGTGTGCATTCATTAAATAGGAACAGGGCATTGTTTCTCAGTGGCAATTGACGAAAATGCAAAATTGTGGCTGACAAGAATGGATATTACAGGCCTCTTACCGATATATATGACTGTCAGGAAATTGCACCAACTTCCAATCACTGCAGCAGCCCACAATCCGGCGATCGCCTGAAAGAAAACATAGCACCACAATTAAAATGTCTGTCTAAGACAGACAGAATAGGAATGGTTATAAAATGGCATTCAACAATATCATAAATGTGTCAATCATATATTCACATCCATTTGGATAGATAAACCCAGAAAAGTCTCACTTACCACTACAAAATGCTTCAAGTTTCTTTCACAAGACACATCCTGAAGGAAGCACAGGAATTTGTTTACTTGGGCACCGATTGCAACGGCAATGTTCACAAATAACTCATCAGGCAATTCAACTCGGGGCACCTGAGAAGGAGATCTAGAAGTAGAAAAGGATTTCAGATTATTGTGTCAACAGAGATACTGCTCAAATGCTTTACATATTATTTGCAAAAAAATTCTTTACATATCGCAAAAAAATGCTTTACATATTCCATACCCGCTTAGCATGTTTGAGAAGTTGGACCAAACAAACTGGATAACCATTCCAAGAACAAGTGCAAACGAAACAATTGTCAGAAAGTGGTAGTCAAGCCACTCAAAGAAAACCCAAATAGCTGTTGCAAGAGCCAGAACACTCGATGATATCTTCTTGTTCCTCCATAACAGCACATCAGCAGCTACAATCACAGATACAACACATCAGTGACGCCCACCAAGCAAATTTCAACATACAGTATATACCAATAAGCAGACCACATACGTTTTCCACCACCCAGAAATCCATGCAAGGTCTTCTGACGACCAAACAGCTTGTTCTTCACTTTGTCAGAGACTGAACCTGGATCAAAATGCCCAGACTTCTGCTTAGGAAGGTTGTCAGCAATGGTATCCATGATGCTGCTCATAATCTTTTCAGTTGCACTCTCAGAACGTTCCGACATCATGTGTATATTTTAAGCTCACTGGAAAATATGAAGGTAAGTTAGACAATATGGTCCATCATAACATGGAAAAAGAGAGAGAACAAACAGACTACAGCCATAAGGGGCTTCTTAGGGGCACATGAGAAGAAAGGCCAGTGGAACAGGATCAAACATACGAATTTAAGAAAATGCTAGACCAATGTACTTGGCTGAAAGAACTAAATGGAACTAAATATTCAGACATTTTCTACTAGTAGCACCAGTTCCTAAAATCGATTGACTGAAATAGTTGTACACCTTCCTGAATCTTGAGAATAACATAATCCACCTGGATTATCTACTGAAGCTGTGAAGCACATAATGTAGCAAAACTTTCTGTTGAATTCAGTTGGTGCAATATAAATTTAAATATGCTACTAGGCAGTTACAGTTCCAAATCCAATCTCCAACAAGGGGGAAAAAAGGGAATCTTCGACAGTAACATTTCCAGCAGATAAGCATTAACCGAAACAGCGCCCTTCAATCATCAAAGCACTTAAAGACCAACACTGGCCGATTTGGCGGTTCCTCACCAAAGAAACCAGGCAAGACAATATATTTCTCCAGCCAGGAGAAGGAGAGAATCAGGCCCAGAACTCCTCGATGAGCTGTCCATCTCTTTGTTTCATAAATAAAACCCCAAGATTCATCGCACCGTGCCCAAAACCACCAAAATGCCCCCCGAAAGAAAAAAAACAAGGAGATGCAAAAATTCCACAGAAGCAAACTAACTTAAACTCAGGGCTCCATAATCTAAAAGGCGCGCCTCCTTTTTTTTTCCCCTACAGTAAAGCCCCCAGCTCCATCTCTTTTACTAGAAAAAGGAGCAGGTAAAGAGAAAATCCCTTAAGATTCCACATCGCCGCTTGAACTACCAAGGCAGAGACTGTACCGGGGAAAGGAGCAGCGACGACACGAACAGGCGGAGAGCCGGCCAGCACTCTGGAGTCCCGAGACGATCGCGAGAAGCAGGCAGCGAGCAGCCGAGCACGAGCAGCGTGGTTGAAATGAAAAAGGCCGCTTGGGGAGAGAAGAAATCGTACTAGCAAGTAGCAGCAATTGATTCTCAACTCGACAACTCCGGGAGGACTGGAGGAGGAAGGACGGAGCCGGACCGGCCCGGGCGGGTCGTGTGAATGCGGTTCGATTGGTGGGTCACTGGCATGCGGGCCTATCCTGCGACCCGACCCTTGAAGTTCCCAATCCCACCAGGCCACCACCGATGTGGCCGTTGCGCCGCCCGTACGTGTGCCACTGCCACTGTGGGTCCCTGGGCAAGGGGACCTGCTATGCGTACCCACTCGTTGTTGCGTACTAGTCACTTGCGGGTGGGTCACAGGGAAGTATGATCGTGGCGGGCCCCGCTGGTAATGGAATATCTACGTCATCCGGAGAGAACAGAATAGTATAAAAGCACGAGGGAAGCGTGGTCCACCGGAAATATTTCCCGTCTTTATCACTTGTCAGCGTCTCGTGATTTGCAGATCGGCCAAGTTATTTGCGCGCGTCAAGCTTGATTCGCAAACTGCATGTAAAACAGTTCATACGGAGGAGCATCGACTATGAACTTGTTTTAAAGCTGCCTTATCATTTTTCAAAAGATCATACTCGAAATTCATGTTCTCTCCCGTTCTACATCTTTTCCATTACCCGCTGCGTTCTCTATGGATGAAAACCTTGCACCCATTCATGCGACGACAACATGGTAGGATGTTGCATACCTTCCTGGTGGCGTCGTGTTGGGACTGATGTTTTGCTCGGTAGTAGTTCGTTGGCACATGAGTGACCCGTATGCGACGGCGGCACTTTGGCATGGTGTATTCTTCCATATCTCTACCCCGCTAGACAGGCAGGAGGTCCGAGTGTTCTTGGATGTTGGATGGAGAAGACATCTAAGATGAAAAAATTGAGGTGCTTGCCGTAGTTTTTCCTTGTTGAGCGTCTAAGTTGGAGCAAGATGCGGGTTATCTTTCACTAGATGAATGTAGTTGCGTATGAGGTGGAGATCGAGTTGCTCCTACGCAAGGTCAAGGATTGGTTGAAAGTAAGGACAAGAAGAAGTTACGAAGCTTAGTCTTTTCACTTTTTTTAGTCCTTATTAAGCTTTCTTTCTTGTTATTTTATGCTCCTCGGTTTTGAGGCTTTGAGCCTATGAGCTCATGTAACTTTTGGTTGCATATATCTCAAGTGGATATAGAGGCCAGATTTTGCATCCTTTATCTAAAAAGTACTCAAAATTCATATAATGCTTTCATTTATGGGTTAGGCTAGTCCATTATGGTTAAATGCAAAATAGTCATTTTGATCCCTTAACTATGTTTCGTTGCTCGGTTTCGCTAGCGATGCAAGCGTGAAGCAGGCTTGTTCTCGAGCTCACAAATAGACATATTTTTTTTCTGATTTTTAAATTAAGTCTATTTGTGTGCCTATGGTTAAGCCCGCTTACATCCCTAAGTTTCATCCATAAACTTTTAAAATTGTCGTTTTAGTTCTTAAAATATTTTTTTGTGGTGAGGGGCTCAGTTTCATTTTAGATTATCAAAATAATTGTTTTCGTCCTCAAACTTTGCGTTTTGAGCTTAGTTTTTATCCTTAAATTATCAAAATGACTATTTCCCTTGGACCAATGATTATATGTATGAAAAAAATAAATTATTCATCCAATAATAATGAATATAACAATACAACTGACAAAAATGTTAATTAAAAGAATATAAAAATTTGGGCCAAATAGGTCAAGGAGCCCCGTTAGGCTCAATCAAGAGGGAGCTTGACTGGGCTTAGCCAAAATCAAACCAGCCCAGGTACGGTTTTAAGTTGTAATATTCGTCTTTGCGAGTTACTCTTAAGAAATCTGAAGGCACAACAAGATTCGTTTCTAAGTTGTATTTTCTTAGTTATGGCGATGAGGTGGTACTAAAGTTGCGCATGTCCGTTGACCTTGACCACGGCCATTGCTCAGGCCATGCTGACGACCACGGCCATCGCTCGAGCCATGCCGACGTGGTCAAGTATTATTTTGTTCTCGTTGCAAAACATGACCATGATCCTAGTGATACTTTAGGGATTGTGTGGTCGATGCCTCTGCGTGCACGCCGCACCTGTGGCCGATTCCTCCGCAGCACCTTAGGCGGCTCATGGCGTCCAAATGTCTCGTTCGTTTCGCTGAAAAAACAAGCTAAAACACTGTTTCGACTGATTTGTTGTGAGAGAAAAAACTCTTCCGGCTAAAAAAACAAGCTAAAAAAGATGAATTATAAGAGAAGCGCACAGGGCCTCTACGCTGTTGTGGCGAGGTTGTGGCATGTTGCATGTTCGACAGTGCACAAACGGACGCCGAAACTTCAACACCTTGTGGCAAATTGCAGTAACAAACCAAACGTACCCTTAATTCCTAAGAACCCAAACACATACTCAGCGAGTGTATTGACACTCAGAAAATAAATTCCCGTGGTTACTCAAACATATATAAAGTGCTGCAAATGTATTTTTTAAAGCCGTTAAGCTTGTGCAAAGATACGACTAAACGTGATAAAGTGTCAAAAAGGTTTTCTTAGCCGCAAAATCGAGTTATTTGAGCTCTACCATAAAAGAAAAAGCAAACCATGTTAGTGGCTAGCGAACAAATACACAAAGATTCAACGCTTGAATGCACAGGGCTAGCACCGCTTACCGGACAAATAAGGGCATGTTTGGAACGCAGGAATAAAAAACATAGGAATGAAAAAAAACACAGAAATAGAAAGTGAGTAGAGGTTGAAAACAGAGGATTGAAAAACGTAGGAATCTTATGGGGAGGAGTGTTTGGAACGGAGGAACCAAAAGTTTCAGTTAGACCATTAATACCACTTTAACAATATTTTTTGTATTATAATAATCAGCACCGTAGGCGTTAGACAAATGATCCCATGCATTTGGACAACAGCAGTATAGAGAAATGAGCTAGTGCTCTTTTGTTTGTCTCCTCTGCGCTCTTTTTGCCTCGGTCTTATGTGAAACCAGAGCTCAGACTAGATGTATTTTTTTCTACGTTTTGTGAAGGGAACCGAACTTTCCTTTGGAACTGAAACGAGCGTTCCTCCGTTCCAAACGCTGCCTGACGTCATCCAAACAGAGTAACTGGTTTCCTTCAAAGTTCCTGTGAAAATACTCCAATCCAAACGGGCCCTAAGATGAGTTTTAAAAATGCAAAAACTAACGCGCTTGAATGCACAGGGCTATCACTGATTAGCAGTCAAATAAAATAAGCTTGAATGCACAGGGCTATCACTGATTAGGCCATGTTTGGAACACGGTTTTTTCACGGGGAAAAGTGAAGGAAATCAAAACAGAGGAAAGGAAGATGGTCATAGCGTTTGGAACAAAGGAAAGGAGCGAATCCTTTCCTCTAAAATACTGTAGCAACAATATGATTTCACGGGAAAGAAAACATCTGCTTCTGATGCAGTCGCGCGGTTATCGTCTGCTGGGTGGATTTATAACCGAGTATTAATAGCTTTCAGTCAGTTTCAATGTTTAAAATATTCCTACACCAATTTCCTTCGTTCCAAACGCCTCATCCTATTCATTTCCTGTGTTTTTTCATTCCTCTATTTTGTCATAACACATATATCTCATTTCTGTGTTTTCCTCCGTTCCTCTGTTTTGTATTCCTACGTTCACATGCCCTTATTGAATGCACAGGGCTATCACTGATTAGCAGACAAATAAAATAAGCTGCAAAAAATGGTTGAACTAACTGGAGATGCGGGGTATCGATCCCCGTACCTCTCGCATGCTAAGCGAGCGCTCTACCATCTGAGCTACATCCCCTATGTATCAGTTTATTCGTTTTATACATATTTGATACACATATTAAAGTTGTACAAATACTGCACGGGTGCCCGCGCAGCCAAAGGATTGGCACGAGTTGATGCACTCGCAGCGCCGAATAGGTGTGTTTAGTTCGCGTTTGAATCCGACCTAGCTAGCGCCAATTAAACATGGGCAGCCAAAGTCTGATTTGTGCAATGCTGCCAATGCAATAGGCACTTGTTTGGTTGTATTGACTGTTTAAAATCTATGTTAGAAATGATATGCTTGGTTACCTGCTTTGCCTAGGTATAGGAACACCTCATCTTTATACTATTATTACGTTTACCTCTGAGACATTATGTTGAACATCCAGCATCCTCGATCTGCTTCCTTCCGGCAGGCACCTCTCCGCCACGCCGGCGTCTGGGCCAAAGCTGGAGGAAGCATATGAGCATGGACACCATGTAGCATGGGTGCAGCAACGGCTCGGCAGGCATGGTGGCGGTACGTCGTGGGAGGAGGGGGAGCCCTTAACAGCCGGAAACGCGAAACATGATCACATTCCTCGTTTCGGGAACGTCCACGTCCCTGATTCGGGAACTTTTACGTTCCCATGTTATTATAAAATAACACCCGAAGTTTCCATTTCCGTTCCACGTTTCCGTTACCCTGTCGGAACATGGGTGCTAAGGGCGCGCTCATACTACTCACACCGCTGGACCAGCATGCAAAGGCAGCCCAACACATTGTGACGCGTGGCCCAACGAAATCTTCAGTTCTTCACGGAGGCTATCCGGCCACAGAGGACAAGACTGAAGGGTGAAGGCCAAAATGCAATATGGGCAATGGCCATTCGATCTCCATCCACGGTCACAACCACCCGGACTCACAGAGACAGAGAGAGCCACAGAGGGCACTGGCCGCCCCGCCGCCACAAATAAACCCCATCGTCCCCTGTCCGGCTGTCCGTCCCTCCCAGATGGATGGACTGCGGGCTATACCCTCCGACTCCGATCCTCTGAGCTCTGGGCCGTAGCCGAAAAGTCGGGCGGCGGACAAAGTGCGAGAACAAAAGGTGAGCAGTGTGAGCAGTGGCTGCAAAGCTCGCCGTACATGTACATGCGGCTGTCTGTCGTTCACCAGTCCATGGATCCCGTAACGACAAGCCCGGCCCATGCCGGCGTCGGGTGGCTAGCAACCAACGCTAGTGCTGGGTGGTGCGTGGCGCGTCACACGGCCACGGCGTGCTGCTATAAATTGCCATGCACGGCTCCCTCCTTTCGCACTGCCTCCTGCCTTCAGTGAAGAGACAAGCTAGCTAGTGTTGTTGTTACAGCAGCGCAGCAGCCACCAGCAGAGCTCGCTCTCCGGCATGGCCTCCACCTCGAGCCGCTTCCTGGCCGTGGCGCTCGTCATGGCCGCCGTGCTGCTCGGCGGCGCCAACACGTGCCACGCGGCCCGCCGCCTCGACGAACTGCCGCCGCTGCCTCAAGTGCCAGGTGTGCCGAAGCTGCCGATGCCTCAAGTGCCGAAGCTTCCAGTGCCGCCGGTGCCCCAGCTGCCGATGCCCCAAGTGCCGAACCTTCCAGTGCCGCCGGTGCCCGAGCTGCCGATGCCCCAAGTGCCGAACCTGCCTCAACTGCCGGGCGTGCCCGGCGTGCCGCTGCCGTCCGCCGCGGTGCCGTAGCTGCCGCGCGCTCCCGTTGATGCTGTCCCGTTCCCGGCGTGGACGAGCACCGCCGCGCGTCCACCGACGTGCAAATGCAGCCGACGGCCGACGCCCTGTCATGTACCTGTGTTTATGTTTGTGTGTGTCTCATTATATTCGTCGAGAGGCCTTAACATTCCTCCATATCCATACACAGCATATTGGTCCCGCAAATATCATTATCTAAAAAAAGGGCCCGTGAATATATATGTTGTAGGGTACGTATTTGTACACGGTGTTACACTGCTAGGTGTATATGTATATGCCACTAGTCTGTGCCAGTGGATGTGATGATGTTAACGTGTTGCATGCGTATTATTTACTGATATTAATGAATGTGATGAGTATTTGTCTATTGTACTATATATACCATTGTATTTTCTCCTGCAGGGAAAATAAATATGCTCATTACGGCAGCTTATTAAACACAAATTATCTGATACATGTTGTAAGAACGTACAATCAGGTTCAGCAGACTAGCTAACCACCAACCTAATAAGCATACTGCTGGCCTACAGTTGGGCACAGACGACATCTTTATATTGCATCTTATTTGTGCTCTCCTCTAAGTTAGTTTTGTACTGTACGAGGTGGTTGTTTGCTTGAAAACCTCATAGGCACAGCTTCCATAGTTCCATATCCCACGCATATATCGTATCCCTTCTAGGTGGCTAGGTGTCCAAAATCATACACTTGGGATGGCTTGCTACATGTGCAGGCAAGGTTGCCCGGTGAGAAACCAAAACAGGCCATAGGTTCTACGGATTTTTAATTTTGGAATCCTTCCGGGCATGCATCCTAGCCCTAGGTATGAGAAAGTAAATTTTGCCCTTGAGGGCACATGCTCTCCCAATGCGCACCATTTGGATGTGCACATGTGCCCTTGAGGGAAAAAAAAAAACTGCTTTCCCCTAGGTATCCAAAATTGAATGCTAAGGATGGCTGCATATGCCAAACAAGCTTGCTTGGACAGACTAGTCTGGGAAACTAATAAACAAGCGCTCTATGTGCTACGGATCTTCTTAATCTTGAAAATTGCAGCACTAAAGGGCTCCAACATAGGAAAACAAAATGGAGATGGAGTGTCCCTAGCTAATTGATTCAACCACACCATTAATTGGACCTCTATTCACGAGTGTTTGGTTTGGGTCACCTTGTAGGTCTTTGGGCTGTGCCCTAAACCTCTCGATGTTCCCTCTCCAAATGTAGTAATCGTCCTTCATTCTGTGCCGATTTGCCGGTGACCCAAACTCTATAGTTCCTTCTCATTTGTATTGTTATTATGTGTTGTATGGTTGAACTTTGGTTATCCACTTAACCATCTGTTCGGGTCTATAAGCGCCCTGCGCAAAACCAAATGTACCTTGATTTATCAGGCCTTGGGAGGCCAATGAATGAATGAAAATGTCCAGATGGGGGATTCTCTCCCCTTCCGTCGACTTATCAAAAAAAAACTTTGGTTATCCACTTAACCAGTTTTTTGTCATGGTCTTGGTGTGGCTATAATTGGATTATATAAGTTGGATCATCAAATAAAAAGTATTCAATCATAGTGATTTTTCTTAATTACATCAGCAGAAACAAGCAAGAAACAATATTTACTCATAAGAAATTGATAATATTCACTCGCTGTAAACAGGAACAAGGAGGAAATAAAAAGTTTGGCATTGTGCAATATCGTGAGGCCTTCTCTTCTTGTCTGTCGTCAGCAGAGCACATGCACATGTGTCAGCAACAAATGAGTCAGTTTGGCAAATATAAAAAAAATTAACAAAAATGATCAGAATTTGGAGATGCGGGGTATCGATCCCCGTACCTCTCGCATGCTAAGCGAGCGCTCTACCATCTGAGCTACATCCCCTTGATGGAATTTTTGTGAGTTATTACATATTTGACTGAGTTTTTGGAGCAAAGAATTTGAGGCTACTGACCACCGAGTGGACGCGCGGCAGGACGCTAATCCAGCGACGAGCGGTCTGTGCGGTTGCTGGTTCGTGAATGAGTATTTTTTGGTTGGTTTGTGTGTTTTGATTGAAAATTTATAATAATTTATGAAAAGCCACGGCCAACGTTTAAAAATGAGCCGCAATCACAGTTGAGTCCACGCCCATGCATGGGCACGACCACCCAACAGTCTCCGTGCGTCCAGCCAGAAGATCCCGACCAACGTCTCGGCCGGCGGATGGAGATGGTCTGGTCCTCCTGCAGGCAGCAGCAGGCCTCGTACAGTAGGTCGTAGCTTCTTCTGTCATGCAATGCAATGACGTAAATGTGCTCTGCTCAATGCTCTAAATCTGAGCTAAAACTTAGCGGTATCATATCGGGTGTCATTGTTCAATTAGTAATAATAGTACCATTGTCAAATCATACACTAATTAGGTTTAAAAATTTTGTCTCGTAAATTAGTCGTAATCTATGCAATTAGATATTTTTTAATCAAACATCCGATGTTATTGGGACTAAACTAAAAATTCATTAGCACGGATGTGTCGGAAGGATATCGGAATGGGTTTTTGCTACTAATAAAAAAACAAATTACAGAACCCATTAAAAAACTGCGAGACGAATCTAATGATACTAATTAATCGGTCATTAGCACATGTGGGGTTACTGTAGCACTTAAGACTTTTCATGAACTAATTAGGCTTAAAAGATTCGTCTCGCGATTTTATCGAGAACTGTGCAATTAGTTTTTTTTCGTCTACATTTAGTACTCCGTGCATGTGTCAAAATTATGTGGAAGGCAATTTTTTTGAAAATCTAAACCGGGCCTAAATGCAATTAGATATTTTTAATCGGCCAACATCAAGGAACTGTGATTGGGACTAAACCGCGCGGAGTAAGGGTGTGTTTAGTTGGAGAGGTGGTGTGCTCCAGTCGACGCGGCAGCGTCAGTGTGTGTCCGTGTGGATTGGTTTGCATTGGCAACAGAGCAAAGCCGTGCAGTTAATAAGGAAAATGGAAGGCTATGGAGCTTCAGCTCAAAAACGAGGGGTTGCCGGAGATGGAGCCCGGGTTCTGATGGCCAGGAAATGGGACATTGAGCTGCAGCAGCACGATCCCCAGCCTCACCTAAACGCAGAAATACTGCATTGGAGCTGCAGGCACACGGCGACCTAAACGATTCTAGGCACACGGCGACCAAGAATCCGCCTCGATCGATCGATCGCTGCCATTCTGATCACCAACTTGCGCTGCCACACCGATCCGGCCACCAACCAATCTAATCGCACCCTCCCTATCCCTAATCACCATGCTATAAATCGCGACGCATTTGACCCCTGCTCTTCGCAACACAGCAACAAACGACCCTGCCTCCTGCTCCTGCAGCAGCATAACCAGAGTGCAGCGAGCCGTCTCGAGAGACAGGCCTAGGCCTAGCTACTCCTAGCAGTATGGCTTCCGCTGCGAGCTTCCTGGCCACGGTCGTGGCGTGCGCACTCCTCCTGGCCAGCAACACCTGCCACGGGGCGCGCCACTTGGCCGACACGACCGCCGCGGCCGCGGCCCCTGCTGCTGCCGTCCCTGGCCTCCCCGCCGTGCCGACCTTGCCAACGGTGCAGCCACTGCCCGGCGTGCCACAGGTGGCGGCGCTGCCGCCCATGCCGGCCGTGCCCGCGGTCACCGTGCCGCAGGTGACGCTGCCGCCCATGCCGGCGGCTCCCAAGGTGACCGTGCCGCCGCAGGTGGCGCTGCCGCCAATGCCCGCCGTCCCGTCCGTGCTGCCCAAGCTGACCCTGCCACCGATACCCGCCGTCGTTCCGTCCGTCGTCCCCAAGGTGGCCTTGCCGCCGATGCCGTCGGTCCCGGGCGTCAACGTGCCCACGGCGATCGCGGCGCCGCCTCCGTCGGCGTAGATGCGCTCCAAGCCTCCAACAGTTTTGCGTTCGCCGTGTCCGGCCACCATGTCATTGTTTGTGCGTGCGTGCTGTTGTACCGTGTGTAGTGCACGTGCTCTCTTTTCGTGCGTAGCGTTGTACCATTGTACGTATCTATGTATATCCTTTGTATTTTCTACCGCATTTATTCACGCCGTATATGTCTGGTCAACAGTCTCCTTTCTTCTTCTTCTTCTGTTCGAATCTGAACTTCGAAACATCCACTATATATTTGAAAAATTGGCGTAGTCTAAAATTTATCTGCACCTCACATACATTTCTTTTTATTTGCCTACAAAAAGTTGATCCACTTGTTTTCTAAAATAAACAATTTGTATGCAAACTTATAAATATACGCACCCTACCGAATTCATGTGTATCAGTTTTTATATATCGGTCACAAGTAAATTGACCTTTTTCATTTGGTCAAAATTTATTTTTTATTTTCGGCAAGGATTAAATCCATATTTTGATTTTTATCATTCTCAAGATCGATTAGGTCAGTATTTTGAGTGTGTTTAAAGGAATATATTGTATCCACATGGATTTATAGAGCATGTAAGGCCTCTTTTGGATTGGAGGAATTTTCTTTATTTTCTGTGTTTTTCTATGAAAATCAACTAGATTTTGTAAGCATGTGAAGTTCCTGAGTTCCAAATAGGGCTTAAATGTGTGTACGTGTAACAATCATATGAGCTTGTATTGCATTTTTTTTGTTAGAAAAATAAAAACTCGGGTGGGTGTGTTGGTATTATGATTTTTTTTTTCAACATAAAATTCCTTACCATGCTCTCTCTCACGATCTCGCCCAAGCCTATAGGCTAGTTGGCCCAGCCCGACCGGGTCGTCACTTGAGCCAATAGCCCAACCTCCCAAACATTTACGTTTTTCAGGCCTGCTTGCATAGACAAAGTACATATATTTATTTGGAACAGAAGGCTGCCCGCTCTGTTTTTCCATTTCTTTTCTGATAATGCTTTGCAGCGTCCATCCCTCCGGACGCCGCTTTCTAGGCATACGCATACTGATCCAATAGGCCAACTTACCTTTTGCGTCTTCCATCTCTTTTCTCAAAAATATCTTCCTATCGCTCTCACCCATCGTGTGCTGCTTTGCGCGTGCGCTTGCTGCTGCCGTCTTTACCACCACACACCCCATCTCGGGCCGCGCGGCTCCCCCATCCAGCGCTGCGCTCCATCCTGTGCCGCGCCCCCTCCATCGCCACGTCGCATTCCATCCCCCACCGCGCCCGCTCCAACTCGCTGCGCGCTACGCACCGTGCTCTGTCCCCTGCGCGTGCCGGGGTTCTGCTAGGGTGCTGTCGAGGTGTCGTCGACGCCGCCGTTCCCCACCAGAAGGTCGTGCCGCTGTCGATGCCTTGGCCGCCGCGATGCACGACCTCAGCAAGGTGGTGTTGCGATGAAAGCGCATGTTGCAAGCGTATATTTCAAGTGTTTCTGATGTTTCGGAGATATGTTGCAGTTGTTTCATATGGATGTTGCAAAAGTAGATCGGTGAATGTTGCACATATTGCAAGTGTTTCAGAGGATTGTTCAAAATGTTTCATGTGTTCCAGAAGTATGTTGTAAGCATTCTGATCTGGATGTTGCATATGTTTCACACATATGTTGCAACAATATGTTTCAAATATTTCAGCTGTTATAGTCTTATGTTGCAATAAGTGTTTCATGTTGCAAGTTGCAAATGTTCTATCTGGGTGTTGCATATGTTTCACACATATGTTGCAATTGTATGTTTTAGATGTTTCATCTGTTGCATAAGTTTGTTGCATTCAAGTGTTTCATGTTGTTCGGAGAGTCGGGGGGCGCGAGGAGTGATGGTGGCATGACGCGGGCACAGGGGAATGGGCGTGGCAAGTTGGGGGTCGGCAGACGAGGCGCGATGGGGGTGGGGGTGCGAGCGCGGTGTGTGGCAAACGGCCTCGAATCGAGGCGGATAGGGTGGGCTGTGAGTGCGAGGCGAGTCCTCCAGACACGCGTGCGCTACGACAGGGAGGGATGCGCGTGCGGGGCGGGAAAAATCAACGGACGGGCTGGGGTAGGCTACGCGGGCGTCTGGACACGTGCGTCCGTCCGGACGCTAGCACCTCCGTTTCTTTTTAGGCGAGGACGAATGTGTTGATTGGTAAGGCTAGTCTCACCATAGATTTACCGTAAGCCTTAAAACCTAAACACACAGTTACCAAATTGTTCATAGTTTTTTCGCGAACAGGGAAAGTTGCTTGTTCGTGAAAAAACTATGACAACAAACTCTATCCGTCTCTTTATAATTAACTTGCCAATTTAGCAAATTTGCTAATGTGTCACATCATTAAATGAGAAAAAAAATTCTTTGAAACCTTTATTGAGACTGGCCTAACCATTTTGGAACATGGAGAATCGCGGTAGAGTTAGTAATTTTGCAATCATTTTGAGGTAGGAGGTAGTGATTGTTTATCACATCGAATACAAATTACAAAGTATTTATATGTCTATTACTTTTGACAATAAACAAAGAGAGCAAAAATAAAACAAATATTAGCTGTGGATCTTAATATGCTTCACAAACTTGTAATGCTCATGCGTTCTCGCAATTTAAAGCTTGTTTGGGAACACACGTTGATGAACAAGTATCAAAAAACAAAAAAAAAAACTTACAATTTAAAATAGAGAGAGTAGTATATTTTTCTTATCCAAATATGCAGAGTAGAGTTAGAGTCGTGGATCTCTATATTAAAAGAACGAAAAAAATGTAGTGCATGTATCAAGCCGCTCCAACACAGACAGAGTGTGCTTATACAGCTTGAGAAACAACCAGTGAACAAAACACCTTTCTCCAGCTGAACAATCAGAGAAACACAGGGAACACGATAAACTGATTTTGAATTTACATACATGGATCGTCGTTTGGGACTTGGGAGACGGGTTTGCAATGCACAAGGCAGCGAAGAGAGGGGAGAGTGGAGACACAGCCTAAGGAGCTCTGGAGCTGTAGGCTGTAGCAGCCAGCGGCGTTGCTGTCGGCAAGCTCTTGGTGTTGAGCGCATGCAGATCACAGCAATCTTGTTTGAGGTTGAGGATGAGAATGGCCGGGCCCGTCCTGTACCCATCTGTAATCCAAATCCGGGCTCCCATTGGCGCAGGCGCACCTGGCTGGCACTGCACTGGCACTCAGCTCGCTGCAAAAAAAGAAACGTTTTTTTCTTTGATACATGAATCGTACTGTTAATAATTGGAGGCCCCTAACGAAACCTACATGTTAACTCTCACAAGATACGTTAGAAAAAGAGATAAATCAAAGGAATTCTCACAATAATAAGAAAGATTTGGCCATCAGTTTGATCTCCGCTAATATTATAGCCATTAGATCCCTTCTTTTTTCTAAAAGATTACCCACCTTAACCATTATGAAAATACATTAAAGTAACCCCCTCAACTTATATCTTAATTACCCATCTCTGTCATTATAAATATAACATGTTATTAATGAAAACTGCTCGCCTCTCACACGTAATAATAGATCTTCTAATTGACAAAAAACATAATTTTTTTTTGACAATGACATAAATTATATATTGTCGTCCCATCCTATCTCCCGTGGTATTAGCCAAGCCACGCCGCCGCCGCTGCCGGCCATATGTTAAACCGCTTCGGAAGCTATCTCTGGGTTGCTTTGGGTACGGTTCCAAGCCGGGTAACCCGCTGACAGCCTGATACTCAGGCGCTTCTTCCCGCGGGCGGCTGTCCTCCACTCCGTCTTCGTTGTAGGTGTAGCAACCAACCAGAGGCAGTTAGAGCTTGCCGTACGCAGCTAGACACGGCGCACAGTCGCTGCAGTGTCACCACCGCCATCGGCCTCCGGGCGCCGTGCCGCTGTAGCTCATGGCCGTCTGCTTTGTGAACGCGGCTGCCGCGCCGCTGTAGCTCATGGCCGTCTGCTTCGCCAACACCGATGCCGCTCCGCTGTAGCTCACTGTCTGCCTCAAAGGCGCTTCTTCTCGTTGACCTCATGGAGCCTGCCACTGTTGCCGCTGTAGATGTCGTCATCGTCGTCGTGCGTGGCGCGCCCAGTAGGGGCCCGCGTGCGCGAGCTCGTGTCCGGCCGGAGGCCAGTGCGGGCGGGGCCGGCGCGGCTCGGTTCCGGTGGCCGGAGGCCAGCGCAGTCAGCGCTGCCGGCGGCGCGTCCGGCGCGACCTCTGCGCGGCCGGGGGCGAGGTCAAGCGCGAGGCGGGGCAGGGCCGGGGTCGCCGCGGCCAGCGAGACCGGTGGCGTCACCATAACCAGCAGGGGTCCGGCGCGAGGCGAGCCTATTGGTGGGGGCACATCTCAAGGAGGATTGGAGGAGCTTAGTCCGACCAAGGACGACGAAAGGAACCGGCCAGCGGGAGATTGCAAAAGTTCTGTGTAAACCGTCGAGAACTGTGGAACCCGTTTTTTCCAGACCGCCAGGTTCAATCTTCTACGGCTTTGATTGGGTTCGAACCAAAACCCGCAATAACCGGACCATGTACATAATTTTCATTTGGTTGGTGCACATTGTATTCCTGAAACCAATGGTGGAAGTTCACCCTCAAAGATGGAACTGTTATCAGAGCAGCACCCTTTTCTAGGGTCCGTTCATAGCTAGAATCTACAATATTTTTCTCTCACAATAAAACAGCTTCAATCGGCTTATCAGCTGAACATGCCCTAGTCAATGACGAGAACGAAAATGTTAGGACTGAGAAGCGGATTCTGTGAAAAGATTGATGAATGCTTGATTGAAAATTCAACGGACTCAACCACATGAACCGAGATAGGAAGGGTGAAGCATATTGGGGTGATGTTATCAAGGCATACAACAAGGACACCCCACCGCAAAGGAAAAGAAATGCAAAGCAAGCCAAGGATCGATGGCACAAGATTAATAGGTGCTGTGGCCTCTTTGAATCTGATTATTTGAAGGCTCGCAGAGTGTTTACAAGTGGCTACTCCGATCAGATGTGGATGGATGCTGCGGACAAGTTCCATTTGGATCACAAGCTAGGACCCTTCGTGATTAAGAATGTTTGAAAATATGTCGTGATGTGATGAAGTGGAAAACATACAACAAAAAGCTGAAGAACGCTCCTAAAAGGAAGCCATATTGCCTCGAACAAGATGTGGAAAAATGTTGAAAGTGAAGATGAGATGCCAAAGCGACCAATGGGACAAAAGGCGGTGAAAAGGCCACTCTTGCTGCAAAAGGCAAGACAAAGGAAATGGATGATGATGGAAAATCAAAGGAATCCGCAATTGATGAGGAAAAGCTTGATAAATTGAGCAAATACCAAGAAGAAACTAATGCAAGCGCATGAAGGCGCTAAAGCTGCAACAGAAGGCTGTTGTCCGATAAGATTGAGACCACAAGGCTTGCCCATCTAACAACACAGGAGAATAGAGAGTCAAAGAAGCTAGAGATTGAGGGGGGAAGCTTGAGATGAAATCAAAGAAGTTTGAGAAAGAATCAAAGATGATGAACGCATATAACAGCCTCATCTCACAACATACAAGTTCAATGACTTGTGATGAAAAGGCTGAGTGAGTTGTTGAAGTGTTTGAGGAAGATGCTTTTTTCTTGAAATTATCTAGTTTGGTATGCCTTTTAATTCTTGTATATTATAATTTAACCCTATATTTACCGTGCGATTATCGGCCAGAAACCGCGGCCACGTCGACCCGAATTGTCTTATCCGTCCGATTTCCGATCTGTGGCCCAGATTAATTGGAGCGGCTTACGCTGAAGCGGCTTCTTGCGCTTTTCGTTGGCTTCTTAGCGCCGCTCCCGCCGCCGCCACCCCTTCCTCCCTCCTTCTCCCCCTCCTCTCCCTCTCTCTCTCTCCCGGCGTCGCGGCGTGCCTCCCGGGCCCCGGCGCCGCCACCTCACCGCGCGGTGCGCTGCCTGGGCGACGGCGCCGCCGGTTTGGTGCGCGGCGGCCGTCCCCCGCCACGGCGCGGTGCCAGCAACCACCGCCGTCGTGCCTGCCCCACAGCGCTGGCTGCTCCCGCCGGTCCGCGTGTGCTCCACGAAACCCTAACTCCATGTGCTTGACGCCCGCCGCTGCACCACGAACTGCTCCTTCTCTTGTGATCTGCGCTGGAGTTTGAGGAATTGATTTCATTCGTACAAGAAGACAGGTGCTTCCTCCTAATCTCCGTCCCCATCTCTATCTATTTTGCACTGATGAACATATCAATACATCCCTTCCTTTTGTTGCAAGGGGAACACGTGTGGTGCCCTGTTCAGGTGTGTGCGGATGTTTGGGAAGTGGACATTGTGGGCATTTTCCCCTTTTTTTTTGATATCTTTTTTTTAGATTGGCACTAATCTGGGTTTGGCACTGATCTAGGTCTTCGCCAGGTATTCCGAGCTGCAATCGGGTGTTCTGAGATGCGACCTCGACAGGTAATGATTTTAGCTATTTTTGACTCAGATGTTTTAAGTTACAAATGTAAAAAAGTATTGCCTCTAAATTATTATTTACAACGTGCTACAATAATTTTTTTTGTTTAGTTTGGATGCACCTCCTTAAATACAAACGATAGATAATTCCAGTCAAAGGATATATACAACACGACAGTTAATACCTTGCATCGGTTAAAATCAGCATATGGTTCTATAGAACTTTTCCAAAGTTGCTAGGTTTTAATTGATTACAGTCTCTTGTTAGTCTTCATGATTGCAATCTCTTTTTAGTTCTCACTTTTTAGGATAAAAAAACTATTCACTTCTTCCGTGTAGGAAACCAACAACATTTTGGGTGCGAACTACCTATGCCAAAAAAGCTTAACTATTGAGGTACGTAGTATCTTATTTGTGTGATAACGATTGATTATGGCAACAATCTCATTTGTGATACCTCCTGCTTGGTGTATCTACATCCTTTTATATACCTCTCATTGCTTTATATTGGTACCTACATGTCTAAATATCCTACGTTCAGTGAAGGGGGGAGGGTACTAATCTGATTTGACACTTTAAACCTATGGCTGCATCTTTTGCTCCAACAAACTAGATGTAGGCTGGGGGAGGATCGAAAAAAAATTGCTGATCACCTTGGTCGGTGGATGGATCAATTTACAATTCCTTCTTCCTTGGCGATGCTTGCAGCGGTTTTGTTGTTCTTTTTCCTTGCTTTTTTTCCTTACCAGGTTACCTTGCAACCAACAAAGAGACGCCAGGCTGTTGTTCTCCCTTAGCATTCATTCTTCGATTATTTTCCTCACTTTGTGTGACTCTTTGATTCAAGTTCTTCAGTTCAATTCTTCTTTTCCTTTTTGGTCTGCGGTGGGATATTTACCTATTCTTGCCATTCCTGCAAGTTGTTAAGGCCAAAAAAAAGGTTCCTTTCCAATTGCCACTCCGCTGTTCCATGCTTGGCAACTAAATTTTACCATGTCAAGTCCCATTTTTCTTAGTTCAGTATCTTTTCCTCTTCAGGCCCTCAGGTGACATGTAGTTGGATTTTTTGTAAGCTGCTCAACATCTTTGTGGCCCCTTTGGTATGCCATCTGTGCTAATTTTTTCGAGAAGACACCAGCTACCTCATCAGTGTTGTTATTAATTTTTTTCCCAACATTCTCACCAGTGACAGAAGCTCTGCGCTATGTCAGCGTGTTGCCGCTCCGTAGCCCAGCTGCCTTCACCGGCTGCAGCAACTAGCAACACAGACCTCTCTATGACAAGATTTGTTTCTACAAATTTTCATTTGAGGGTTTCATGGTTCAGATAAAAAAATTGATCATGTTCCTTAATAATTGGTAAGTTCACATCCCTTTTCTTTTCCAGTCCTCCCTTGAATATCTCTTTCAAATTCACAAGTGTAGTTTGAAACACATGTACGCCATACGAAGATTCCTGTTGGTTTCAAAGATTTGGTAATCACAGTGATATTCTGAAACCAACCTCCTGTAGGTTTGACAAATTTTTATAGTTGTCCATAACATGTCTAACTGAAAAATGCTCCATACAACGTGAGGCATTACGAGTTCGCACCATGTCCTGCTAGAACCATTATTCAAATATGTTCCCCAATATCAGGTTTTGACTTTTGATTATTATGTTTTCAATAAGTTAAGATATTTTAGATAGGTCAATGCTTAGAGCAGATGACATGGTTTTCTTTCTTTCCTTCAAATTTGTGTCTGAGTCTTTTACTTTACACATATCTATAATTTTGTTATGAAATTTTTCCAAATTGACAGGCAAGTGCTCTTTGTTGAGGTTTGAGGTAAGACCTAATTTGTTGGAGTTAATTCTAAAAAAGGTTTGATTGCATACTATCTCCTTTGCGTTTATTTTTTGTCTGCATATTCAGTTGCTTTATATTACAGTATATAGCGTACGTTTCCTGCGCCACACTACACAACGTGATTAGTTATCGGTTTTCCATTTCCCTTATCGTCAATAATTAAATACTCCAGGATTGAATATGCCATGTGTTCAACTGATTTAATATTCTGCCCAGGAAAGAACATAGCTTCTTAACCATTTCAAGCAATTTTTCTTTTTAGTATTTTGTCACCCAAATACTTAGGCACCTAGCCGCTGCTTATTGTTATTGTTCCCACAATGTATTCTGTATTACACAGATCAATTTGCTTTTTAACACTGTGGCGCTGCACTTGATATCAGCTTGAATTGCCATGTGCAACAAATAGTGCATTACAGAGTGAACATGTGCCAGTTGTAGTAGCATGAAAAATGGTTAAACTTCATACTATTTTCTCTACATGGTTTCTATTTCTGCCTCTAACTAACGATGGCATAATATTGTTGTATGCTATATAAAATTTCTATGTCAAAGATATCTTTTTCCGGCTGTCTGCTAAAAAATTGGGCATGTATTAGTTGCTACGTGCTAATGGGCCTGTATTAGTTGCTGCGTGATAGTGAACATATATTAGTTGCTGCTGTGATAATTGCTCAAAATATACATGCCTCCTAATTTGTATTTCTTCGTCTCTGTCAGCTTTTTCCTTCTTTGGTATAATATAAGATCTGCTATTTTGCTTCAAACAGTTTGGTTTCACTTTCTTAATTTCCCTGCTCCAGTCAGTGCTGCCTTTTCATGTCTCTCTTCCATCAATCAGTTAATTACTACCTTATGGACAGGTTCGTTTGTTCTTTTCCTTGGCAACTATTTTCAACTTAGATTTAAGCACTTCTGCTATTTGTGGTGGGCTGGTGATCTTTTCTCCTACGTCCCTATATGTGGTCCCACTCATGAACCATTTGATGGCCTAGAGAAAACTGAGTGAGGAGTAAGAATCACAAGGTGCTTGATTAACAGGTTCGTAACTTACTTCATGCCTCATTTGTGATAGGAATTTTTTCAGTGCATCGTCTGCAAATTGCTAAGTTCAGAAAATTCAGTCGCATGTGATACT